GTGGTCAAGATTTTTCTTGTTAATTTGTGCGCAACTTGAAACTAATTCATTTCTAATCCAATCAAAATAGGCCATTACATCAGGATTAAGGAATTTATAAGGAATTAACTCCTTATTGTCCTCAAAAAATCGAACATTGGTCAATAGGGTGAAGAACAAATTTTGTTATCAACTAAACCACAATTCCTTAAATAGAAACATCTTTTTCATATCTCTATCTAACCTTCTATCCCACTCACATGAATGTAATATGATTCAAATTTAAAAACCATTTTTTTATTAAATGAAAATTATTATCAAATCAATTAAGTCTTTGTCAGCTTTTATTTATTTTAATTGATTTTTTATGGAAATAAATCTACTAATAAGTAGTGAAATAGATATATTACTAAACGTGATGCGCAAAATTAATGGGCGTTTATTAAATTAATGGATTCACAAAAGTGAACATAAATGACAACAAAATACACATTTGCATATTTATAAATAAATTCATTTATTTTTTTAAAGCAAGTAGCTCATTAATTAGAAAATAAATTAAATCAACTTTCTAATTTAATTAACATTATAATTGGTTTAAAAAAATAATAAAAGAAATGAGAAGAATGATTTTTTAGTCAATAAAAATATAATGTTAGTCAGTACAATCTGATTGGTAAAAAAATTTAATTATCTACCTTTTGTTTCTTCCAAATTAAATATAATTTAAATAATTATTTAAACCATAGACTGTGTTTGAAATTCCTAGAAAATGTTCTAATTGTGACTTTTTAATTATTTTATTATAAAAAAGCTAAATTATTATTTCAAAGGTAATATAATTACAATATCATGTAATATTGTAAATTTACAATATAATATATTATTATACAATTTACTCTTTTAATTCAAAAGTTTACTTAAAATATTATATGTATTCACTTATTTAATAATATCTCACTCATTTAATAACATTTTACGATTATAAATTTAAAATTTTAAGTGGCATTGTAATTATTAAAATACCATCAATGTAACCACTAAATTTATAAGAGATTAAAAAAGTTAATTTAATTATAATAAATTAACACTTTAAGGAGAATATTTTAAACAGAAAGCGTAAGAAAAAATTAGAAATGATTAAGGTTACACAACAAATTATTGGTTTAACAAAATTTTTTTAATAAATAGTCAATTATAATATTTAAAAATATAAATATAAATCGATTTAATCTCTTTAATAATAAATATTAATTATTTTATTGTTTATTAACTAAAAGCTACTATAGTGTAATTGCACCAAACCAGAAGTCCTTCTTCAGTCCGCGTCTACACTCCGGGATGACCTGCAAGGCCCCGAGGTGGAACTCGGGGTAGACACTCCGATGCTTAAGTCAGCAATAATCGGGACTACCTTTAGGGCGGAAATAAAAAGAGCTTAGGGTTGGTTTCAATTACCTTTTAACGTGGCCCGGTGGGGTATTTATAGGATCCAAAGAGGAACCCACGTGGCATGCCAAGCAAGATAATCGGAGCCTGACGTGTCTATCCAGACGATTATTCCGGGACCGAGAATTTGAGAGGTATTCAGATGCACGGATGTCCACCATACTTGCTGTGCCGCTCATCATAAGGAATCAGGTGCGGGCATACTTATTGTCATTGTCATGCAGCTATTTGAGTGGGAGGCTTTGGATTTGTCCTT